AATAAATATCAGGAAATGAATTATTAGGTGACATTGAAGAGAAATGAGCAGTAATTGAAGACATATGGTTACAACAACCAGAATCGAAATACCAAGGTTTGGTACTTGGAGCAGTAGATAAGGTAGTAGGAGCATTAAAAAGATTTAATATCACCTGTTTTAGGGATTCAAGATTGACATTAGGTTGTTCTATCACTTCTTTGGCAACCGTAGCAGTAGCAGGATGAGTTACAATCCTTTCAAAACTCGTCATAGAATCAGTAAACTCACAATACTGAAAAACTCCAAAAATATGGAGAAATTGATGTCAAGATCGAAATAGCAAACCAACAAAATACCTCAGAAAAGGTTTGAGAATCGAGGATAAACAATCCAATCTGTATGAGAAGAGATCCCAATGACAAGGTTTCAGATCTAGAATGGAATTGAAAATCCAACTCCAAAAACCCAACAACGATGATAAGAGAAAGGAACCAAGAGCTTATAGCTCTGATACCATGTTAGAAACTGAAAAGAAGGAGAAATATCTGAAGAAAGGTTTATTGCTTTCTTGAATTATACTGTATGTACAATGACTTATATATAGGTGTTTATAAAGAGAATATTCTGAGGTATAAAGTATACAAAGAGAATATTCTAAAGTATAAAATATTTACAATAATTCTAAACATAATTATGTTTACATCTTAACACCAACAAACAACAAAGCAAGAAAGTTAACCGGAGCTCTTCTTCTTCTAAATGGTTCTAACTCAATTCTATTGCTGAATAAACAATTGCAAGTGTCCCCATGAAGCTCTCTTTGGAGGGCCGTTTCAGTTGTCGTAGAGCATCTGTCCATACATGAGCACCCTTACCTTTTAAAGCTTTTGCTACTGCTTCGACAGCCAGTGGCAGCCCTGCACATTTTTCCGCTATCTCCCTTGCCGTAAGCAGTAAGTCAGAATTTTCAACTTCATCGCCGACTATCTTCTTCAGAAGTGTCCATGCTTCTTCATCTTCTAAAATACCAACTGGGATCTTTTCATCAGCACCCATGTCACAAGGTAAAACATCCAAATCTCTAGATGTGAAGAGAATCTTGAGTTGCATCTGTTCTTCTCCAGTTGAACTTGCCTCACTCTTTTTGTTTTCAAATGGAATTCCAAGGGCATCCAAATCTAGCCTCGCCCAGATATCATCTAAAATCACAAGAATCTTCTTCTTTTTCCTCAAATACTCCTTTAGGTGATAGGCCCTCCCAAGTTCAGTCTCCCCACGGAGATCTAGACCTAATTGATCTGCAATTTCTCCTTGAATCTTCTTCAGGTCTGGATTCTTTGTCACAGAAGCCATAACTATCTCATCAAATAACTGCGCTTCCTTGGCTTGTCTGGCAACCTCTTTGGCTAACGTGGTCTTGCCCACACCAGGCAGCCCGTGGATGCCTATCTTGTGAACACTAGCACTTCTCAAGGCCTCCATAACACGGTTCAGAATCGGCATTCTTGATTCAAATTGCTCAAAACCTTCAGCTGCTCCGATCGATATCTCTTTTGGAGGAAGCGGGTAGGAAACTAGGAACCCGGATCCGGCAGCTTCTTCTAGAAGTGGAGCAACAGCCTCCAAATACTCCTCTACTTTCTTGCTAATTTGGTAACGGGCCCTGGGATTAGGACACAACCCAGCGAAGCACTTCTTTGCTTTGTCTTCGTCATCTCCTAACTTCTCCATCTCTCCAATGTACTCCTCTGCACTTGTAAGCCAATTCATGACATTCAGTGC